TTGAACTTTGCTATTAATGCTGCAGTGAGATGATATCTCATGGTTGTTTTGATTTGCATCTCTCTAATGACTAATGATCATGAACATTTCTTCATGTGTTTGTTGGCTTCCTAAATGAGGCTCTGTTTCTTTAAGGACAAAACTATTACAGAACATGCTAAAGTTCAGTTCTCACTCTAAAGTGTATCTATGGGAAAATATGCAAAAAACTCAGTTATTTAAAAGCATAATTTATTTGCTGATTATCACAGCTGTAAAACAAACACACTCTTCTCTCTTCTTACCAGTGACTTTGACAAGTCAGAGCATTTATTTACTTGGTTCACAAGTGGATGGTAATTGAATCTGGAAAGAGCTCTAGAGATCTTTTATAGCTCCATTAGGGGCTTCAGTTTCCTTCAATGATTTGCTCAGCGTCACAGAGCTAGTTAACAGAGACCCAAATCTTGAACTGAGAACCAGAACTCCTGATCCCTGTCTAGTATTTTCCCCATATTTCTTATATAAATCTTCCTCTGAATCCTTACGCATTAATCCAATGCAATGTTTCTAAAGTCCCAAAGTATGCTTAGATATTCATTTATGTTGAAAATGACATAAATTTTATTATAATATTTTGGTGTTGTTTTTCTTTAAGTTTCTCTTTTTCCTTCCAATACACGCAGTTTTGAGGAAGGCTCCCTTACACTTCATTTTACTGATATCTTCACTAGTATATGTGGACTCACAAATAAAGACCACTTAGGGGAAGTGTAATATGGCCTACAGATCATGAGACTGATATTGAAGAGAAAAAAGAATTTAAAAGTGTTATTGTTACACAACAAATTAGGAGGAAGAACAGAAGGACTAAACACATTATTAGGCCAATTAACCATGATGTCCCATGAAACCATGACCTTAAATCTCCAAAGCAAGGAGTCAAATCCCATGAGGTACTTGGCTGTATATAAGCAGCCTCAGCAGCTACTCTTTTTTTTTTTTTCTAAATGGATGTAAATGTATCTATCACACAACTTTTGCCAATTCAGCTTTTTACATGTGTACAACTTATTGACAGTAATTACATTAATTGGCTGTGCAACCTTTAATCAGTGCAATTTTTCCATCATCATAAACCAAAACCCCATAAGCTTAAATTCATTGCATAGTGCCTAGGGTCTTAAAAGGTTGTAAGTCATTATCTAACATACAACTGGTCTCTATTCACCTGAACAACAGAGGCAGGAGAGTCAAAAACAGGAGGAGGAAATGGATTTCATGGCTAATTGCCTCCATGAACAACTGCTTTCTTTGCCATGAGACCAGAAGAACTGAATGGTGCTTGGCTACCATAATTGAACATTTTGATCAAGGACTCCATAGAAAAATCCTAATCAAAGGGGAGGGAGGAATATAGAATAGAATTTCAAATTCTTATCGACTCCAGACTTCTTGGAGCTATGAAGGTTGTATGAACCCCTGAAACCATTGCCCTGAGATCATTTCTAAACCTTAAAGTAAAAATGCCCCCTGAAGTCATCTTAAAACCAGACAGTTTAGCTTAACTAGTAAGATACGCCTTGAGCACTATGCTCTTTTAAGATCTATCTCTATGGGATCAAAATGACAACAGCAACTTGAAAGATTAGATGGGAACCTTAGGGGCAGTGAATTTATGTTGAAAACCAAACTCACTGCCATCGAGTCGACTGCACTTATAGCAACCCCTCCTTTGGTTTCCAAGGCAGTATCTCTGAGGCAGTAGATTGCCCAATCTTCCTTCCGAGGAGCAGCTGGTGGATTTGAACTGCCAGCCTTCTGGTTAGCAGTCAAATGCCTTAGGCACTATGTTAGTAGAGGAAAAACAATTCAGAAAAGGAGAGTGAGAATGACTATACAACTCCAAGAATGTAATCAATGTCATTAAATGGTACATGTAAAAACTGTTGAACTGATGTGTGTTTTGTTGTGTATATTCTCAAGAACAACAACAACAAAAAATATATATAAAACAACTAGGGAGCTCTGGTGGCGTAGGACCTAAGGCATGTGACTGCTAACCAGAAGGCTGGCAGTTCAAACCCACCAGCCACTCCTGGGAAGGAAGATTGGGCAATCTACTTCAGGAGAGATACCGCCTTGGAAATCCAAGGAGGAGTCTAGCAAAGCATGTCTGTCTGCCTTGAGGATTATGCTCTTTTAAGATCTATTTATATGAGATCAAATTGACAACAGCAATTTGATAAATAAGATAAGAACTTTTGGGTGCAGAGTTTATGTTAATGGGGGAGGAACAACTCAGAAAAGGAGTGAAAATATGTGCACAACTTGAAGAATATAATCAGTGTCACTGAATTATACATGTAGAAACTGTTTAATTGGTGTATGTTTTGCTGTATATATTCTCAAAAACAACAATAACAAAAAGTGTTATCACTCAGCGTACCAGATGATTTCTTCCAGTGCCATCCACACTGTGTGTGGTTATAAACTACCAATATGAACACCAGCAATTTTCTAAAACTCTCACAACAATGGGGCAGGTATGTTTTTGCTTATTTTTCCTAAACATTGCATTTACTCTATTTATTAGGGGTGTGACCGTTGCAAAGATAGTGGGATGGCTATAGGTTATATGTAAGCATGAGCCCTAAAATATTTATAACATTTCTTTTTTACCCTTGGCATCTTTGGTTAAAGTGCTGACTCCTCACATTTCCAAAGCCTTTCACCAGGTTCCCTATTAAGCCAATGGAAAAATACTCAACTCTGTTACAGTCCCAAAAGCTCTCCCACATTGGGCACTATACTTCCAGGTTGAGTGTCTGCTTAACTAAGTCCAGCTCCTAGACAGACAAGCCTGTCTCTGAGGATGGTAGGGACTCACCTAAAACAGTTCTATAAAAATGATCATAATCTTTTCCTATGGAAAACCCAGTAATTTATGAAACTATGTAGCTTAAATAATTATATTTATGTTTGTCATTTGATTAAGTAGTTTTAATATGAATATGAAAGTTTCTTCTTGGTCAGTAACTCTATCAGTCTGAACTCCCAAATCCTCCTAAGCTCTGTCCTGCTTACTCGCCTGCCAGGAATCTTTAGGGCTCACTCCCCTCAGTTAGAATAATTTCTTTGATTTCTATTATTCTATGTTGTTAATATTCTTCAAACTCTCTGATAAAATTCACCTCATTCAGGAAATCCTAGCTAAGTGCTTACATATATTCATTGCCCCAAATGAATCTGAACATAGAACACACTATATATATATATATATATATATATATATATAATAATAACTTTGTTGGAAGAATGACTAAAATAGCAGCCGTAGGTGTCCTGGTGTTTTTCTCTCTTGAACCACAAAACTCCTGAGTATAAAGGTCATTATCTTCTCTGCCTGTGACTCCAGAGGTCCAGAAATAGGAACACATGAAACCGCTCCTATAGAATAATATAGGCACTTGGAAAGAAACTTCTTATGCTTCTTGAAAAGTTTAAGGCACTAATGGTACCAATGGTACTCTGAGAAAGTCACTCCTCACTAGTATATGCAGACTCACAGTAAAGACCATCTAAGGGAAGTGTAGGAGCTCTGGAAGCGTAGTGCCTAAGGCACTTGACTGCTAACCAGAAGACTGGTGGTTCAAACCCACCAGCCACTCCTCGGAAGGAACGTCGGGCAATCTACTTCTGTAGTGATATAGCCTCAGAAACCCAAGGAGGGGTCGCTATGAGTCAGGTCCAACTCAATGGCACATAACAACAACAACAGTGGAAATGTAGGCAGAACCTGAATTGAAAGCTGTTTCCGATGCAGGTCAGGGTCTTAAGCTGGTGCCCTGTCCTATGTGATAGAGAAGCAGATAAAGACTGAAAGAGTGGGTGCCAGTCTATTGGGACATCTGCAACCTCTGCTGGTCAAATTAGCCCACAGGGCAGTAGACTCTTGGTTCTATTCATATGTCAATAAACATTTATCAAGCACTAGTTTTAAAAGCTATTCTTGATGTGCACTTAACTTGGCACCAAGGCTCACAGCTGGGGACCCAAGTGACCTTGGTTCTCAGAGCCATCTAGGGGCAGCATCCAAGGCCACAGGCAGCAGATATCAGGGAAGCTTTAAAATATTTTGTGTTTGTTGCTGATGTTAAATTAGAAATGGAAAGTTAGGAACATGAGTGGAAAGTTTAGAAATGGATTGGAATTTCCTGTCTTAAGACTGAATTTCCCAATTCAAATTTTCGAAAAGGTATCTGGCAAGTCAGTTAACATACTGATTAGAATTAAGGTTACATACAACTCCACTTCCTAAGGAGAAAAAGAAAGGTCCAGAAAATACAACTTGTTAACTGACCACAAAAATAACAGGATTTCAGAGACCTGTTCTTGAGCTGTTAAGTTTTCTGCAGTCTTCCCCGTATCTTGGATTTGAATACTAGCATAACTACTAAAGTAATTTTTGCAGTGCCTATCTAAGACATTAGATAATAGATAAATAGGAACACTGTCACTTAGAGTTTAATATGCAAATCTTCCTAGAGCGTGGACCTTTCAGGTTGTTGGGGCAACACACTGTAGGGACACAGATCAGCAGAGCTGCTACTTTGATTTATTGTATTCTGAAGTATCACAGGGGAGGGCCTGAGAATGAATTCACTTTATTAGCAGTTCTAAAGCCTTATTACCTGAGATTTGCATTCTGGGGGGAAAAACAAAAATCAAGATTGAATTGTAAATACAAAGCCATATGAGAACTGGATATTGGCCCCAAAAGAACTTGTACCTGAAAAAGCCTAAGTGAGATTACAGAGAAAAACCAGGTATATGCCAAATCCATGGATTTAAAAAGATAGCCACATGCTTTAGCACAAAATCTCCCTTTGGGGCAGTTAGGAATACCTCAAACACCTGACACCAAGAGCAAGCGGTTAAAAGGAGGGGATGCATCTTGAGTATTCCAGAGAGGCTGGCTCCTCCTTGTGTCAGAATTTCTTTTTGTCGTCTGCTCCTTTTCACTTCTCATCATCCCGCCCATAGTTAATAGTTTGTAAGGCCTGAGCTATGAGCACTGCCATCTCCTGGGTGCCTGCAGCAACCACTCTGCAAGACATGAGATCAAGAGGCCCACCTGAGAAAGAGAGAGGAAGGGAAATAGATGTTTTGTCACTGGAATTGCTGACCACATGAGCATATACCCAGGAACAAAGCTCATCCAACCATTCTCAAGTCCCAGGGCTCCTTACTAGGTTGCTCTAGTTAAGATGTCAAGCAGGTCAGAGTGAAGGATTAGGAATCTCATTATTGCTTTATTGCCAGTATGAAGGTAGTCATGTACCATATACACTGGTGAGTCTGAGAGACTGAGATGGGAGAATGGAGAGCTTAAGCTCAACATTCAGGACTGAAACTCAAATTACTGGTTAGACTCAAGTAGAGTGAAACAAGTCTTCTCAAACTCTAATGTGCATATGAATCATGTACATTTATGAGAATGTAGGGTGTGTTCAGAGCCTGAGACTCTGCATTCCTGACCACTTTCTAATGCTGGTGTGGACCACTTTTCAAGTAGTGAGGGGTAGAACATAAAGCCCTGCCTCTTCCTGAGGATGCATGACACATGGATAACTGTGCAACCCCTACACCCATAGAGGAAAACCAGCATCTGATAATTTTTAAAAGTGAAACTACCCTGCTTCGTCTTGCCACCTATGGCTGATCCCTCTTGTCTTTTTATCTTTTCAGTAGCTCAATTAAGACCCCTCAAAGGAGAAATAGGAAAAAGTAGAAATCACATTATAGAAGGCCATTGTACATATTCAAGATTAAAAGACAGTCATAGGGTTTCTGCAGACAAACTGAGGAAAAGAGAGAGTAGGGTAGAGAAGGATCACCCAATCTCCAGCATATCTTTCCTGCATTTACTTGCAGACAGTGTGATGCAGATTCAGTGCTGAACTCTGAGATCTTAGAGAACACACACCTGCCCATCTCCTGGGATCCTCAAGAGATCTGCATGTGTGTGAAAGCCCTGTGCAAACTGCCAATGTTATCCCAATGTAAAGTGCAATCTTGTTATTTTCCAGCTAGCAGATTCTGATCCACTACTTTATGGTCTACTTTATACCCAGAGGGACAGATGTGAAGGTAGAAGACTAGTGTGGGGCCCACTGCTTTTATGATGCCTTTGCTTGGACTTTCATTGGTAGAAGTTTTGAGGAAGTAGGGAAAGTCAACCAGATGTGGGCCCTGGATACCACAGTAAAGGGTTTATCTGAGCTAATGTCTGCTCCACTGTCCCCTGAGGATCTGAGAGAGGACTCACCCGATGTATCCATCACAATCCCACCAGCTTCACGAATGATGACTGTGGCAGCAGCTAGGTCCCAGCAGTGCAAACCAAACTGGTAGTAGGCATCTGCAGCACCTGCAGCCAAGTGGCAAAGGGCCAATGTGGAACTCCCAATCACACGGACCCTGGAGGAGAGAGGGAGAACCTGCTCAGCAGTTGTCTGCACCCAGTGAGGACCACCCAGCTGTGTGAATAATGTGCCTTCAAGTCAGGCTTCTCTGAAATGGTGTATGTGCTGACTTCATCCCGTCACCTTTCCTGTTGGACTCTGCTGTTGTTGTTGTTGTTATGTGCTGTTGAGTCAGACCTGACTCATAGCGACCCCTCCTTGGGTTTCTGATGCGGTATCACAATGGAAGTAGATTGCCCAGCCTTCTTTCCAAGGAGTGGCTGGTGGATTAAGAACCACCAGCCTTCTGGTTAGCAGTCAACTGCCTTAGGCACTACACTACCAGAGCTGGACTCTGTTGATTACAAATGAACCATGAGTTTTCTGCTAACAAGTGCTAGATAGAAATGTCTGCAGTGTGGCTACCAAGAACTTGAAATGTGGCTAATGCAACAAAAGAACTGCATTTAAAATTTTATTTTAATGAAACAAGGATGGCCAGACTTCCTCTTACGTGCTTTAGACATGTTATCTGAGGGACCAGTCCCTGGAGAAGAACATCATGCTTGGTAAAGCAGAGGGCCAGTGAAAAAGAGGAAGACCCTCAATGAGATGGACTGACACAGTAACTGCAACAATGGGCTCAAACATAGCAATGATTGTGAGGATGAGTCAGCATTTGGTTCATTTATACAAAGGATTGCTATGTACAAAATAGACATGTACAACATCAATAAAGTAAATTTAAACAGCCTCACATGGCTAGCAGTTACAGTACAGAGCTAGACGGAGAATGGAGATGAAGAAGATTCACTTTGAGGAAGTAGGGAAAGTCAACCAGATGTGGGCCCTGGATACCACAGTAAAGGGTTTATCTGAGCTAATGTCTGCTCCACTGACTTTGATTTATTTTCTCTAAATGCTTATTAGGTTAATGGTTTGTCTGAAGCCAAGTCAATTTGCAAAGGGCTCTAAGCACATAGGGGGGTCCACTTGCTGGATGGTTTGAGATTAGCTACTTGCTTTCTCAAAGTACAGGTAAAGAAGGAATAAAGATCTTCCTGCTCATGTTTCCAGTGTCTTGCTACACGTGCTTCTGGACTGAGACGATCTCTGGCTGCTGTGTGTGTGTGTCACATGGTATTGTTTGGAGTCTCAGCAGGAGACCATATGCTCCTCTGCCCTTATTGCACATATGGCTCTTTTCCTCTCTAAATCTCTGAGGAGTTTTTAGTAAGACTGTGCATTTGGCACTTTTCCCTTTGGTCACAGGGGATTCCAGGAATTAAAAGTTCATACCCATGAGCTTTGGCGTGGAGTAACCTTTCCATGTTACTCAGGAACAATTTCAGAGTGGCAGGGTCACGTTTGGGACCAATTTCTGTTAAAACTAAGGCCTTTGAGAGATCTGTAATAGAAAGAATTTCCCATAGTCAGAAAAATGAAGTCTTATTGGTTCTAATTGAATAGTTGGGGTTTTCCTGGAAACAAACTTCAAATGTCAGCCTCTTATTCTTTCTCAGAATATATATCAATTTTGGGTGGTTTATACTATAAATACAGTTTTTTTGACAGCTATGCTGAAAAATAAGGATATGGTAAAGATAGATAATCATCCTCTGACTCTGTCCATCCTCAGTTCTTCGGAGCGGCTCTCTGTTTCAGAGTGCTGAGGGAGCAGGTTTTTAGGTCCAGGAATCCTTCATTTTATATAGGCAACATGAAGAACTCTGAAGTTTAAGTCTGGCAGTTTAAGAGACTGACCTTCATTCAATCACAAATAAAAGCAAAGGGACTCCAAGCTGGGAACACCCAATACTTGGGAAAAAATGCCTGATCAAATAAACCTCTTTACAAACCTTTCTCTAACTCCTGTAGTCAAACAGATGGAAATGTTATGCCTGTGGATAAAGAAACTTTTAAATAGCTCTGGTGACATAGTGCCTAAGGCATCTGACTGCTAACCAGAAGGGTGGCAGTTCAAACCCACCAGCCACTCCTCAGAAGGAAGACTGGGCAATCAACTTCCATAGAGATACAACCCCTGAAACCCAAGGAGGGTCAATAAGAGTCGGAAACGACTCCACGGCAATGAGTATGGTTTTTGGTTTGGTTTTGGAAAGGGAGGTTTCGGTAGGAACCCTTCTCAGCATAAAAGAAGGGTTTTAGGGCTCTCTCAACAAGGAAGCAGCAGGCTTGAGAACTGTATACTAAGAACATCCACTCCTATTGTGACTGAGAATCATAGTCCTCACTTACATCAACAGGGCCATCCACAGCAGGTAATCAGTAAGTAATTACTGAATAACTGAATGAATGAATGCTTTCCCCCAAATACAAACATTCAAGAAAACAGAGTAATTTTTTTGTTTTGGCTGGGTTTGTTAAATTCCAAGTATTTTAAATTTATTGCAGGAAATTTTAAGTTAGGTAGAATTTTGTTGGCTAGCCTAAGAATCCAATCACATTGTAGAAGAGTTTTTTGAAGGTGGAATCAATTCTGAATTATAAACATTTTAGCTAAAAATTCTGTTTTGAAGAATAATGTATTATAATTTAGGGAGTGCCTATTGAAATAAAGCTTTAAAAAGAAGTTTGATGGGGGCAAAGTTATAAAAACTTCTTAGTCATAATGAGACACCTTGAGGGACTGAGTCACTGGATATAGAGGCTCAGGACCATAGTCTCAGGGAACACTAAAGTCAATTGGCATAACATAGTCTACAAAGACAATGTTCTACATCCTACTTTGGCGAGTAGTGACTGGCATCTTAAAACCTTGTGAATGGCATCTAAGGTGCAGCTATTGGTTTCTTCCCATCCGGGGCAAAGAAGAGTGAAGAAAATCAAAGATACAAAGAAACAATTAGTTCAAAGGACTAAAGGACCACATGAACCCTAGCTTCCACAACCCTGAGACCAGAACTAGATGGTACCCAGCTATCACTGCTGACTGCTCAGAAAGGGATCACAATAGGAGGTCCCAACTAGAGATGGGGAAAATGTGAAACAAAACTCAAAATCATAAAAAAAAGAACCAGGATTACTGATCTGATGAAGACTGGCGGAACCCCTGAGACTATGGCCCTTACACATACTTCAATATAGGAATTGTACTTAATGCCCGTGATTTAACCTTCAGCCAAATAATAGGCCTATAAGGTGAACAGTAATACCAAGAGGATATGTATTCAGTAAATAAGCATATGCAATCAGAGGACAGAATTTGGCCAGGGATAGAGCTAGCAAAGTAGCAGCAGATGGGAAGGAAGGATGAAGGGAAGTGGTGGGCACAGGGAGGAAGTGGGAAGAATGCTGTTACAGTGTGGGGACTGCAGTAAATGTCACAAAACAGAGTTGATGTGGATTGTTGAATGGAAAACCAATTTGCTCTGTCAACCTTCACCCAAATTATAAAAAAAAAAAAAAAAAAAAAAGAAGAAAGAAAAAAAGAAAAGAAATTTGACAACTGGCATGTTATTTTAACCAGGAAACTCAAGGACGAAGGATAAATTGTCCTAGAGAAGGACAAGACGAAACAAGAAGTGAGGCAGCAGGGACACCTGCCTAACTCCACTCTACTTTTTATTGCTTTATTTCCCTTTAAGTCTTACACACACCCACAGATGTGTCCAATTACACTAGTTTTAGAGAAATTTTATTTTTCTTTTTACTGTGATTTAGGTGAAAATTCACAGAGCAAATACACTTTTCATACAGCAGTTCACATATACTTTGTCTCATGACATTGACCACAATTTACCACAATGAAACATCTCCCCTCCCACTTCCTCCCAATAGTTACCTCTTCCCTGCATCCATCACTCCATGCACTGCTACCCCCTGAGCTGTCTCCCTATGCATATGCAGCCCTTCTTTCTCTCATGCTTGTTCTCTCCAAGGAGTGTATCTACTTCAGGTAAATGTTCAACTCATATGCCTGTCTATTGTTTGGCTAGAAGCCACAGGTGTGCATTCAATTCTAGACCTGAAGGGCAGCTAGGGGCCATAGTCTCAATGGTCCCACCAGGCTGTATCAGGCTAGCAAACCTGTTCCCCACTTTTACAAAGATCCTCTTCCAAGTGGTTGACACTAGTAGCCGGGCATTACCTAGTTCTTCTGGTCTTAGAGAAAATTTTGTATGTTATTCTGTTACTTCCTGTTCTGACATAAAAATACATTGTGTATATTGTGTACATCTTTAACTGTGAGTACATTTGAATTTACTTTACTCTTAATGACTGTGTGTAACAACTTCCACTCAATGGGAGAGCTACAATTTACTAAGCCAGTTTTCTACAGATGACCATTTTCAATTCTTTTTTTTTGTAGGGGTGTGTTAGACTGGATTCTCTAGAGAAACAAAACCAGTAAAGCTT